AAAGTCCAGCAAGTGCCGCACGGCCGACGACGACCCGCCGCAAATGATATATTTAGTCTAGTGATGGGCATAATCGAATGATTAGTAATCGAGACATTTTCATAATCGAGTGAATCTCTCGAAAAATCACTCGAAGTTAAAATCGTCTGCTCGTATGATAAGAATAATCAACTATTATTATTTATCGAGAGAATCGAAAAATTATTCGAAATATGAATAAATATACCTATAGTAAATAATTATTAATTTAATTTTGCTTTTTTTATTTGTTGGTGTTTATTTATAATTAATATATTAAACTATAATTTAGGAATAATAATAACAATAATATATTAATAATGCATTATTAATAAGTGCTTTAAATAAAAGACAAGTTGTTATTTTTATTATTTAATAATTATTACCTATATTTTAAAAAAACCGATAACAAATTTAAAAATAAAAACATAAGATAAGGTAGCAATAGCCGGCTTGACCATCATAATTAAAACACCTAATTGATTTTTCATAAATTCACAACTAGTGAGAGAATTAGAATTCAGTAGTTTAGCCAATTCAGGATAAAACTTTGTTCTAATCGTCACATACTTCCCAAAAATGTGACAGATAAGGTGTTGCCATGAGTAGCGATTGAACGAGTTGAAAATAAGACTCAAAGTCAACAATTTAATAATAATTCGACTGTNAAAGTCAACAATTTAATAATAATTCGACTGTTGTGGCTCCACCACTTTATTAAATGTTAATTTATCTTGTGAATATAAATATATGTATGATTGATAGGGACATCCGTATGCGGATGTCCCCTTGTTTTCTTTGTATGACTATTTTGCAGCAATAGTCAGTCTAGTGTTGACAGTCTAGTGTCTACAGTCTAGTGTTGACAGTCTACCATTATAGAACTAACATTATAATTGTAAAGCATATTCTTATTTTGAAATGTTATTATGAAAGTTTACTTTATATACACATTTATATTAATTGTTATATTTCTCTTGTAACGTGATATTTTTCATATAATATATATTACTATTTATAACCAGTATTTCTATCGAAAGTGTTAAATTTATTTCTTTATAAATAATCACTATTTCCTATACACATCTTGGAGGACTCTGTGCGGATAGCTCAATAGGGAATCCAGACGGTAACCCGAACAACAAATAAATATTAAAATTTCCTCAGGCGAGCCTTACAGGTCCGCCACAGGAGATTTTTGGTGCCGAAACCCGGGATCATCGTCATCATCAGAGTTTTCCAAATTAATTCCATCAAGAAACAGAGAAGACAACGAAGCTAAGGAGAGTGGACAAGTGAAGCCGTGTGCAGAGAACTATCATTTATTTCAGTTTCAGTTCCTATTCCAGAAGCAAACGAAGACATCGTTTCAATGTCGGCTAAAGCGTAAGCGTTTGATTGTATAATTGTCGCGTGTTCTTTTGATTATAAGTTATAGTTATTGTAAATTACGTATACGTGGTTAATTGAGGCCGTAATAATAATCGTTAATAGTAGTCTATGGAAGATAATTTTGAGGTTAATTTATCCGAATCACAAATTTACGAAATTATAGTAGGTAATTCAGAAAATATGGAATCTAAAACAAGTGAACAATCCAAATTTAGTGAGGGACATTGGGATGGAATGGTATCGGTTAGCAAAGTAATAGATAATGTAATAAAATTAGTCCCTGTTTTTACTGGAGAAGTCCAGGAAGAATTACCTAGGTTTATTGATGCATGCGAGTTAGTCGCATCGGTTACTAGAGTAGAGCATGTTAGTATGATGCTCAAGACTATAATTACGAGGTTACAAGGACAAGCATATGACTTAATAAAATACGAAGTTATAGATACCTGGGAGGAATTAAAAAATATTTTAAAAAACTCGTACGAAAGACCTAAAAATGCTTCTTATTTGCAAACTGCGTTGTTTAGTTGTAAACAGCAATATAAAGAATCGGTAGTAGAATATGCTAATAGGTTAAAAAATTTGTTAAGTCAGGTCTCTAACTGTAGCACGCAAGGAAAAAGTTTACCAGATGCGTTAATTATAAAAAATTGTTTAAGAGAGCAAGTATTAAATGTATTTCTAGAAGGTATATCAGCTTCTATAAAAGTAATGGTAAAAAGCCAACACCCTACAACACTAGACTCCGCTATTCAACATGCGATAGTTGAAGAAAAAAATTTCCTAGCTCAAATTGAGGGGCGTAGGTTAAATAATGTTCGATTTACGCGGGTACCAAATGGTAATAATTTTAAAAATAATAAATTTAATAACCCGGTTAATTCGTCGTTTAAAGGTAGGTGTCATATCTGTTCGAAGGTAGGACACTACGCTCGCGACTGTAGAATGAATGATAGAAATAGAAATAATGTAAAACAAACTGTAGTAGAGCATACTTACGTGGTATGCGAATATTGTTCAAAAGGGGGTCATACAATAGAGAGATGTTTTAAGAAAAAGAATGCAGAAAATAGAAGAAAAAAAAGTCTAAATAATAATACTAGTGACCCAGAGATGAGTTCAAGTAGTTCTAGTCAACCAAGGGAGAAAAGTTTTCCAAAAGAGGTTGGAGATTTAAGAAAACCGCATGATGTAAAATTAATTACTGTAGAAATGGATGGGAACCATATTAGGTGTGAGTCGCCGAATTTTATAGATCCTTGTGCAGAGTTTTTGTTAGACACAGGAAGTAGTGTTAACATTATTAGTTTAAAAAGCTTAACTGATAACACGAAGTTAATACCTGGGGAAAACGTGTACTTAAGAGGGATCAATGCTGAATTGGTAGAAACCATAGGCATAGTTGAGATACCAATCAAAGTGAATAGAATTGATTTGGGTATAATAAAATTTTATATAGTTGATGAAAGGGTTCCATTATTAAAAGCGGGTATTTTGGGGCAAGAATTCATGAAGGAACAAGGCACAATTATTATCATAAAGAATAGTACTATTTCGTTCTGTAGGGAGAATTCGATTAAGTTGCCACCAAGGTCAGAATATGTAGCATCGGTTTCAGTAAATAAAAATATAGTTGATAGTAAAGTAGCAGTATTAATAGATCGTAAAGAGATTGCTGAAAAAGTTATTGTGGGAAATGTATTAAATATTGTTAAAGATGGAAAAATACTGGTTAATGTAATTAATTTATCTGAGGAAGAAAAAACGATTAAGCCTCTGAATATAAGCGATTTTGAGTATGAAATATTTAAGGAAGAATTAGTAATGAGTACGAATGTTGAAAACAAAATAGATAACAATCACTTGGGGTCAGATAGGCGTGATAAATTGATGTCTGAATTGCGTTTAGAACATTTAAATGTCGAAGAGAAAGAAAATGTCATATCCATATGTGCAGAGTACGCCGATATATTCTATTTAGAAGGGGACAAGTTAACGAGTACTGATTCTATAAGTCACGATATAAAAGTGCCTAGTGGACAGTTACCTCTTTATACGCGTCAATATAGGTTACCACATAGTCAACGGGATGAAATAAGTAAGCAAATAAACCAAATGAAACGAGATGGTATAATAGAACCCAGTAAATCGCCTTGGAATTCACCTATCTTGTTAGTTAAAAAGAAATTAGATGCCACTGGGAAGCAAAAGTATAGGTTGGTGGTGGATTATCGGAAATTAAACAATATTACGGTGGGAGATAAAATGCCTTTACCTTTAATACAAGATGTGCTAGATCGATTAGGTAATTCTAAATATTATTCTGTATTGGATTTGGCTTCAGGCTTTCACTAAATTCCTTTAAGTACAGTTTCAAAAGAAAAAAGTGCGTTCAGTAGTGATGATGGACATTATCAGTATACTAAATTGCCCATGGGTTTAAAGAATAGTCCGCCAACATTTCAGCGACTAATGAATAATGTTTTATGTAATTTAGTGGGTATTAAATGTCTTGTCTATTTGGACGACGTTATTGTTTTTTCAGGGGATTTAAAAGAGCACAAGAAAAGATTAAGGGAAGTATTTAAACGAATGAGAGAACATAATTTAAAATTACAACCTGCCAAATGTGATTTTTTAAGAAAAGAAGTTGTTTATCTAGGACATAAAGTATCTGAGAGAGGAGTAGAACCTGATGAAAGAAAAATCGAGAGTGTGAGAAATTTTCCCATTCCTCATAATGTTAAAGAAATTAAATCATTTTTAGGATTCACTGGTTATTATCGAAACTTTATTCCCAATTATAGTAAGATTGCAAAACCATTAACTAACTTATTAAAGAAAGGTATTGAGTATAAATGGTCAAGTTGTTGTAAT